TCTCAGCCTAAAAGTATTTGATTTATAGAAATTACTTCACTTTCCCTCAATTTTTTCCTCCTTATGTTACAGTAATCCATTATCCATATTCCAAATCTTAATAACTACAATGCTACACATCTTAATCAATACATATTTAAACACAGATGAGATCATTGTGAAAGTAAAACAGTCAGAAGCAATACCTGTTAAAAAGTCTTATCATGATAACAACTTAAAGAGATCGATAAATTGGCGTAATCGTATAAGAAACCCGTATTCGTACAATTCGTAAATTCCGCATATTTTTCAATCTATAGTGATTGGAAGTAAAACTCTGTGTTTTCCGCAGGTACCTCAATCGCTGGGGTAACTGTCAGGATCAGAATCTGGGGCCAACGCTGCTGCATCCAGGAGGAAATCTTCCTCATCGAATGTCGACTCGTCAAATGCGAACAAGTACCGAAAGAGCTGGAAAACCAAAAAATTATGAGTTGCGCTTCAGTGATTGATGAAAGAATGTGAAAACGATAAATAAAAGATAAATGATCATTTAGAGTTAAAAAAACCTAAAAACCCTTAAAAAATACGGTATAAAATCAATAAATTAACCGAAATTTTCCGCAAAAAACGAGGAGAACTTACGGCTGGGCCATGAGATGGCTGTTTCTCCGGACCTGCTCCATCTTCATTATCACCATTAATTTTTAAAATTTTTCGCATATCATCTTCAGCAAGCAAAAGCCTCTCATCTTCCATTAGTTCATCCGTTCCTAGTACATTTGAGTTTTGCAAAATTCTGAAAAATTGCGTTTTTTTTTGAAGGCAATCAAAAAAGTTCTCCCTCACCGCCCCGCCCCCTCCCCCTCTTCCTCCGCCCAGCTCTCGTTTCGTTCATTCCCTCATTCCATTCGTTCCATGATCCCAAAATGAAAAAAATTTTGCCAATAAGAATAACCATTCGTGCAGGGCTGTCACTTTCAAATTTGCTTGGAAGAAGCAAAATAAACACGATCTAACTGCTTGTCCACTTTTTCTTTTAAAAAATTAGGCAGAAAGATACTTTGGCAAGATGCCAAAAATAGAGCGGGTAGGGGAAACAACAAGAACAATAGTTGTTTTCTTCCAAAAAAATTATTTGATAGATCTATAACTTCTCTTCTGACAACACTACTTCATACATCTACAATTATTTAGAATTGTCTTCTTCCGAAAAATATAGTACAATTCTCGGCTTATTGACAAGGAAGTGCAGCTACTGGCTTCTTCAGAGAGACAAATCAAAATTCTGGCAACGGTGTGAGAAAGAAAATTGTCCATTTCGAAGAGAACACATGCTGCTTTTTTTGTCGCTACTACTACTATTACTACTACAACTACAACTACTACTACAACTACAACTACAACCACAACTACAACAACTACAACACCTCGCTACTGGCGGATATTTATGGAATTATGTGGATGAGAAAGGCTCAAAATAGCGGAGAATGAAGAAGTTGCCAGCCGCAACAACTGCCGGAAATGTAATAATGAAACAGCAGCTGATCAAAGTGTTCAAAAAAAGTAATACTTGATTGGAGAGGAAGTAGCATGTGGTTGGCCAAAATTTATCGCTGCAGCTGCTAAACTTCCGGAGCATTCTGCTTGCTGGTTTTCTGAGATTATAAGTTTTTTCTTCACTGGCAACGAGCAGTCGTCGATTGTTACTAATCCGGAAGGATTTAGCTCTGATAATGTCTGGCTGCAGTTTCGTTGTTTCGCTTGCTGCTGCTGACGCACCGATGTATGAACAATTTGAATCGGAATTTCGGAATCCACATCGTAAGGTGTTATATCGCCGAAACCAGTTGCAAGAACCACTTCGCCAGTGAAATTGATATTCTCCTCCAGAGCTATCACCAGTGGACTAAAATAGCACTTTTTTGCCATTTATGCTAAAATCACGATTATTTTGTTCAAATTTGGCCTACAAAAATCAACTAACAAAATGTTCAAGAGGTAGGCTCTCAGCCTGTTTATAACATGCATTACGGCAATCTAGAGCAGGAAAAGACGGGGTTTCAATGAACATTGTAATATCTCAGAGCGTCCCTAAACCTGGATTCTGACGTTCTTTGAGGCTTCCGTACGGTCAAAAAAAGAATTTTTTTCATAGACGACAACTGTTACAGAAAAGCGTTTAAAAAATTTGATTAGGTGAACTACAAGTCCGAAAAAACGACATCCAGTGAGCCTCTTCTGAGCAACGGAGCAAATCCCAGATTCCTCAGCATAGCGCAATACTGGCTACAGTGGCTCATAGAGAAAAATGAGCCTTAAAAACCGGGTGGAGGGAGGCGATGGGACGAGAAAGATGGATCAGTGGGGTCCAAAGGTTTACAACTTGAGGGGGATATAAAATCTGAACGAAAGAGGCTCAAGAGTTCAACCTCAAATCAGCGAAACACATTTTATTATTTTTTTCTCCTTTTTTTTAACTACATCATACTGCATGTTTCTAATACTTCTTCTGCTGCAACCGTCACAGTGACGAAGTCCAATTGCAGCACTGAATGGGAAAGTATGCGATTTGATGAACCGAAACATTTCAAATCAATTTTTGCTTTTAACTATTATTTTCTTTTTAGTTACAACCTTTTTCATTGTTTCACAAAATGTACAAAAAATATAAAAAGAAAGGAATTTCAAAATTGCCAGGAAAAAATCAATTCTCGGATGGGTCTGGAAATTAAAGAACTTCCAAAACGCTGAACAAGCCACATTATGTAAATCGAAAAAAAATTAAATAAAGAAAAACTGTTAATCCATCTGAAGCTACGCAGCTGACAATTTTTCCAGTTATTTTAATCAATGCTGCATCACTTAATGATCATGTTGCTGACGATTCTGACGTAAAATGGGTGCAAAAACTATAAATGCACCAACGCGCACCAGGCTAGCCGGTGCGATCATGCGTTTTGTGCAATTCAGCCCACCGAACGATTGCCTGTTAATGATTTTC